CGGCGCCGTTTTCCCCCCGCCGCGGGCTGGGAAGCCGCTGGGTTCTATTTTCCTGCCCTCCCTTCTCTCTCGGCCCGCTGATAACCGCCGCTATCTGCCCGCTCCGCTCCCTCCCCGCCGCTATCTCTTCCTCCCAGACGTTCCCTATCGTTCCCTCCTGCGCAGGATTTCCCTCGGCGCTCGCTCCTTCCCCTCCTCACCCCAGCTCTGCATCCCTCTCTCCTGCCTCCCCGGGGATGGTCCCACCTCCCCAGCCCCTGCTGTGCCCCCTGCTCCCCTCAATCCCCCCCTCTGGTGTTCCCAGGGGAGCCTTTCCCAGCTCAACTCCAGTGCTCCTCTCCCCAACAGCCCTCCCTGCCACCCGCTCCCTTCCCCGAACACAACACCTTCCATAAGACACACTTTATTTATTAACGTCCACAGAAAGTACCCAGCCCCACTGGAACTGAAACCTCTATTGGCTTTGATGTAAATACACTTATTACTGTGCAGAAACCAGGTTGTAAAACATCTTTTTATCATCATTTCCAAGGCCTTGGCATTTCCAGATGTACCCACATTCCCAAGCAATCTGTGATCAAAAAACATTCCAATCAATAGGAATAATTGGGCGTTGGGTGTTTTTTTTTTTGCTATTCCATCCCCATCTCTCCAATTCCAACTAATGGTTGGGCTGGTCAATATTTTCTAGAGATGAACACTGTTAAGGAGGAAGAAATTCCCTCAGCTGTGGGAGCAGAAAGCAGGGGTGGCCTCCTGGCCTTGCCTATGAATGGATCATTTACCAAGGGTTCTTGGCAACCTTTTTATTGATTCATCTCAATGTGCTTTAAAGGTTTTTACTCCATAAAGGCTGATGGGTGTATTTATTCTGGAGGATTAAAGAAGGGCTTCCAAGGATGGGAAGAAATTTGGTGGAAAAAGGGGAAAAAAGCTGATTGGCTCAATGGTGAAGAGTTTAGAGTCCAATAACTTGTATTAACTTTGTTATCTAAACCTGTAATACTTGGCATTTCCAGATGTACCCACATTCCCAAGCAATCTGTGATCAAAAAACATTCCAATCAATAGGAATAATTGGGCGTTGGGTGTTTTTTTTTTTGCTATTCCATCCCCATCTCTCCAATTCCAACTAATGGTTGGGCTGGTCAATATTTTCTAGAGATGAACACTGTTAAGGAGGAAGAAATTCCCTCAGCTGTGGGAGCAGAAAGCAGGGGTGGCCTCCTGGCCTTGCCTATGAATGGATCATTTACCAAGGGTTCTTGGCAACCTTTTTATTGATTCATCTCAATGTGCTTTAAAGGTTTTTACTCCATAAAGGCTGATGGGTGTATTTATTCTGGAGGATTAAAGAAGGGCTTCCAAGGATGGGAAGAAATTTGGTGGAAAAAGGGGAAAAAAAGCTGATTGGCTCCATGACTAAGAGTTTAGAATCCAATAACTTGTGTTTTTAGCTTTGTTATCTAAACCTGTAATACTGATGTTGCTGTAGAGACCAGGTGGTTTGAGCTTGGAGACATGAGAGGTGCTGAAATTCAAGCATGTGGTTTTTTTAGCCTTTAGGATAGTGTTGGGTTGTTGTTGCTGCTTATGACATTGCAGGTGTGTCCGTGCTGCTCACACCCGAGGAGAGAGGCTGTGCCCGTGGGTTTTCCCTGTGTGCACATAAAAGGGACCAACACTTTGGGCACAGAGGGGGGTGTGCAGGAGACAGGGGACAAGCAGCAGCAAAGCTCTGGCTGAGAAGCCAGAGAAGTGTGTCTCGTTCCCCCCGTGAGTGAAGCAGGACTTTGCACGTTCGTGGAATAAGAAGAATCACATCAAAGGTACTGGCTACATCACAGGTTTTAACTGGGTGACCCACATGATCCCATTTTTTGTCTGGCTACTGGTGGGAGGCTGCTTTTGATCTCCACTACTCCTCTTTCCCAGCTTTCGTTTACTGGTTCGAGGAAATGGGACTGGAGAAGACTTGTCCAAACCCTCCTTTGCTGAGCTTCAGATCACAACCCTTCAGCTCCATCAGAATCCCTGCTCCCTCAGGAAAGCTCCTGCTGGATTTGTTACCTGTAGACTCCCATCCTGCTCCTCCCTCCGATCTGTGGGTGAAACACTCACCCCGCTCCCCCAGCCCAGCCATTCCCCAGCTTCTCTCACCATCAAGTTCTTTGGAAAAACCCAGTGTTATGTCATGAACACTATTCTTGCCTTTTATCATGAAGATTTTTCCCCACTGAATTCCAGAGGCAGATCAAATAGATGGAAGCAGTAACCAAGAAATGCCACTGATGCTTGTATCTATTTCAAGTACAATTTCACTGGGAGGGCAAGAAGTGGTTTGAAGTTTTATCCTTTATTTCCCCTCCCCTGCCTTCTGATTTGTTTTTTATCCAGGAGGAGTAACCCCATGGACTGTAACACAGTCAGCGTGGGTACAGTTTGTAGCATCCTTTGAGGAAGGTGATGCTCTTGGGTCACTTCCTCAGCACCCTGAGTGAGCACATCCTGGTGGAGCTGGGATCCACCACGCAGTGTTGATTTTGAGCCCCTGGGTTCATTGCAGTGTCTGGAATTGTGAGGTTTTCCTGCAGAGAACTGACTGCCCTTCCAAAATACTCTGCCACTGGTTTCCCCTCCCAGAGCCCCAGTTAAAGGAGAGACTTCACAGAGCTGGGCAAGTGCAAATCCTACCTGCACGTTTCACTTCATGCCACTAAAGAGATGTATATAGAATTGCATTTACTTCCCTCCTGGAGGCTCAGCTTTGTCAGCTCTGAGGGTTGCCTTTTCTTTGACATTCACAATATTGTGCTTTACTGCTTCTCTGATGGAGCTGTGAGAAACTATTCCGGGGAGGTTCTGCCATGTGCCAACCCACATGGTGCTGGTTGAGACTTCACAACCCCCCTGTGAGGCAGAACAATGTGACATGGGGAGCACTGGCTAGAACAGCAGCTCCTGCTCCTGCTGCTGGGGTTGATGTGGCTGGGGAGGAGCTGCTGAGGAGCCTGTGGCTTTTAGTGTTTTGCTTTCAGGGGAGAACTCACAGCCTGAAAGAAAAAGCACCAGGGATGCCCCAGGTGGAGATTCATCAACCTGTCTGGCTCTGGAAAGAGTATAAATATTGGAGGAAAAGATGTTAAAACCTGCTCAGTCCATCCCCAGACAGGGGGGTGAAGGGCAGACAGCACAGATGCCCCATCCCCACCTTCTCACCTGCAGCAATAGCAGGATCTCACCTTCTGACCAGCTTCTGTGTCCTCATCCATGTTGTCACCTGTGTCATTCATCAGGAGTTCTGGTTTGAATCCTAGTCACCTCTGGGTGAGAGCACACATGTTAGGGATTGAAAACAAGACTTTTCTGGCTCCTGTTCACAGACTAATAAATAAACATTAGAAGAATTTGTGGAGGTTTGTTACCCCTCCATGCTTTTTAAACTTGGAGAAGTATCACGATGTTTATTTCACTTTTCCATTAAAGAAGAGCATGAGGGTTTCCTCTGGCATCTTCTCCGTGTGAAACCAGGGAAGCTGAGTAAGTGGTGCTTTCTTCTCACTTCCTCAGGGTGGCCAGGCTGTTTTCCTTGTGTGTTTTCATCCTTCTGAAATGTGGGGTTCGAATGCTTGGTGTTATTGACATGATTTCATGTCTCGGATGAGGTGCATCAATAAAATATCCAAGTGAGAAGATCTTTTTATGTGCTTGGACCTCGAAAGGGAGGATAAAACCAGCTGAGTGGCAATCTCTGGCTCCCACAGGACCAGGGTTTTTCTTGCAGGCTGGATGATCATCTCATTTGTGTGGCTTTCCACACCAAAAGCAGTGCAGACTGTAGATCTTATTCGGCAAAATGTCTGCCACCAGGAGG